ATATAAAACATTTATATTTTTCTAAAAACAAAAAAGTGCTCAGTGTATAGTTGCTCTCTCAGAGAGATCAGTGGCTTTGTGAGTCAAGTTCCCCCAAGTTTGTTTCAGGATATTTTTTTTAAAAAGTCGGGAGGGGTGTTGGTGAGCGTTCGCTCCTCTGATTGTCCCGCCTCTCATTTGCCGACATTCTGGGTGGGATTGTACTCCGTTTCGCCCGACGACACCTGAGAGATGCGGCGCGTGGAGCCCCACAGGCGGCGGGAGAACTGTCCTGAGCGAACCTGAGCAGAGGGGGGGGGGGGCAGGTTATTGTCTAGGCTTTTAAAGCACATTATCATGTGAAAAAAAAAAGAGCCTGGTTCACAGGAAGTGCTCTGCATATGACTGGGCTGTCTCATTCCTACACTCACGTGTTAAACACACACACACACACTCACACATAGACACACACACACAAAACCTCTTGATCTTCAAGTTCAGCGTCTCACCTCCTCTGGCTTCCCCGCCCCCACCACGATCAACTTCCCGTCCTCCAGCCCCACCAGGACGTGGCTGAACTCCTTGGTGACGGACACGCTCCTCACTGGGACCCTCAGGGCCAGAGGAGTGATCAAAGCATCCAGACTGTGGAACAGAGAGAGGCGTCAGAGGGAGCAGCTAGTCTGAGCGGAGCCGACAACCGGACCGGACCGGACCGGACCGGACGGACGGAAGCGCCGCAATTGTAAAAATTCACGTAAATTCACGTCGTTTTATAAAGCTGCAGTCGATTGGCATTATGTGGTTCTTAAGCTAGAAGTTAATGCCCGCTACTTCCTTTGGGTGTCTGTTAGCAAAATATCTTAAAAACCTCTGAAAGAATTTTCATGAAACTCTCAGGAAGTAATCATTAGATGCACGACTACAATCGATTTACTTTTGGAGTCAATCCGATTTAAAATGGCTGCCACAGCTCATTCGTCTTGTAAACACAAAAATGCCTACAACTTGGTGAATTTGAAAGGTTATGAGCTAGAATTCAGTGAGGTGGTAGCTGAGAATTGTCCTCACTACATATGCTGAGCATCAACAGATTGCACCAGATTTGTATTTAAAATTAGCTAATTAACGATTAGAGTCTGTTCTGTCTGTCTGTTAGCAAATTATCTCATGAATCACTGAATGGATTTCAATGAAACTCTCAGATATTAATCACTGGATGGAAATCTACAACTGATTAACTTTTGAAGTTAATTCAGTTTAAGTTGGCTGCCACAGTTAATCTATGTTAACAAACATAAAAACAGTTATAACTTAGTCATTTTTACAGGTATAGAGCRAAAACTTGGTGTGCTAGCAGCTTTGATTTATTCCAAACACTCATTCTCGGTGCTAACACATCGTATGAGATCCCACAATATAGCATGAGATTGTGCAAAATGCCATTTAAAAACAGAGGTTTATAGTAACTAAGTACAATTTCTTTGTTACAGTACTTAAGTMGATTTTTGAGGATTTGTAACTTTACCAATTRTTTTTTGAAATAGCTACTTTTACTTTTATTTTGTTGCATTTAAAAGCTAAAAACGACACCTTTACTTCTTTACWTTAAAWKKWAMMMCYWRKTWMYTKKTWMMAAAWTWAA